TAAATTTGTCATCAGGTAGATTTGTTGGCTGCCACCTGGAAGGAAGCTCCAGCCCTGCTTTCCCAGTTCAGATGGGCCGTGACTTCTCGTCTTTCTTACCTTCTGAACGGCTGGCCTTTAGGCTCCCTGCCTTCGGTGCTCGGTTCAATTCCTTGCCGTCTCCTGTACATAAAGTGCTGTCAGCCAAAAATTAAGGCAACAGCTCACTGGGTGACACAGTAACCTTGAGAGTTAGTCCTCCTGCACGCATCCAACTCCTACATCATCCGTAGTTGGAGGAGATGCTGAGGCTGTATTTTAACAGGGAACGGCGTTGACCATTCGCCAGGTGCTCTCATTGGTTTTGAAGTTCTGCACAAATAACTCAGTCACGACTCAAAGCCTGTTCAGATCAGTTCAAGTGAAAAATGGTCATCAATGTCTGACTGGTAAGAGAGCAAAGCTGGGCACTAGGGGCCTGTTGTGAAGATTTTAGCTCTGCTGTCACCTGCTGAGAGCAGGAGTCAGGACGCTGGCTCCACGACCATGGGCTGTGTCAGGAGCAGCCAGGGCTGAGAAAGCCGCCATACAAAGTTAAACGTCGGTATGAAATTGTCAACAGCAGGAGAACAGATTGCTACCTGGTTTTTCGTGCCGTTCCTTGCCCCGTGACCGAGGCTTACCTGTGGCCAACCGCTGATGACCCCCCTGAAGACAGCTCGTACGGCCCGTGGCGAGGATGCCTCCGCCTCAGTCGCGTACCTCGAGGCTGGACGGCCGCGGTGGAGCTCTGTCACCACATGCCCAGAGCCGACGGGAATGGGCTCACATGTCCCTGCTTCCTTGCGGAAGTCTAGTGGTTGGTCCTCGCGACGTCGATCGCAGAGCTGCTCTGCGGTCGCCTTTCCTAACACCAAAGGGTTCCAGAAATGTATGATTCGTAGAGCTGCCTCGTGCGCTCTTCCACAAAAGCACCGGTAATGAACCACCTTTTCAAACACCAACTCAAATTTTCTCTCTACACGCAATAACAAAATGCCTTTTTGAAACCAATACTCTGTTGCGCACCAGAAGGTAAATTGGCCTTCAAAGGGAGGGAGATCCCAGCCGGCTGGTAGAAACACTCCTAGGGGCATGGGAAACAGCCGAAACAGCCCTTTTGTCCGAAAGAAGAGCTGTAGAAAGAAACTGAAGGGTTTCCACAGAATTTCGTCGACGTCCGCATCAGCCAGAGCAGCTCCAGGATGGGATGCCTGCCTTCCCTTCGCTCCTCACCAGGGCTGCTTTGCAGGTGATGCAGGATGGTGCAACGGTGAAAGTTGGCTGCTTCGCGGGATTGCTTGTTTGTTAAACCAGAGGGAGTTCAAAGAAGTGATTTTTGCAGGAAATTATCTTGGCAGCTTCAGCAGGAAAATTCTGATGAATACCCACATCCAATATTGGCATGTTAATACCGACAAGGCAATGTGAAATGCAAACGATAAACTGAAGTCTAGGAAAACAGAATGTAAACTTGGTTAGCACTGCTAATTCTGGAGTGGGTTGAATCAGTAATATTCAGAACTATTGTTCAATATGCTTTAACATTACTTTGAAAAAAATAAAGTTTAACTCCAACAGTACAGGGGGTTTTAAAAGGTAAACCTACTGAAGTAATTCAAACCACAATTTTAAAATAAGTCACCCAGCTGCATTTCCTCTGGTCTTTTAAGCGTACTAGAAGCTTTACGATTTGTGGAAACGAGAGCATGCACGTTTATCAGAGGAGAGAAACAAAGAGAGCTACAACATTCTAATTCTCACACTATATGAAAATAAAAGTATCAGTTGTCAATCCAGACTAACTGCTTAGCCTGATCTGCGTTCTTCACCAGAATTCAACTTCTTACTATGGTAATTTTTAGGCAGCAGCAAATTCTGAGGAACATGATGAAAGGGTATGGTATTTGAAAACTCAGCACACTCAGAAATTTTGCTTTAATAGAAGCAATTGTTATATTTAGTATCTTAAATGAAAAGCACTGTCTCGCTACCTCATGCTTAGGATGACAACTGTGCATTTAAAAGCTCTTGTCGAGCGTGGCAGCTGGCAATCAAACTTTCTTTTTTGTCTCAGTCAATACCCAGCCGTGGAAGTACTTTCAATCAGAAGTTATGGGGAATTACTTAAAAAAAAAAAAAAAAAAGAGAGAGAAAAATTTAAAATGTGTTCCTTTTAAGTAACAAATATCTTTAAACCAATGTTATTTAGAAAACGAACACCCTTCTTCAACAGCCATCACCACCTACGAGTCACGTGGGATTGAGCCGACTGCCCCACAAGCCTCCGTGCCTTCCGACACTGCTTAGGTGGTTCCAGAGGCGGTCTGTGGTCTCTTTACGGTCAACAGCAAGAGTCCCTCAGCACTCTGCAAGCATCCTCAAACACAACTTCATGTCTGACTACAACACACAAGTTCTTATTTTAGGTACATTGTCAATATGTGGGTTTGTTTTTGGTTTTGTTTTTTTCCCATGGAAACTGTAAAATGGAAATAGAAAAGTACAAAAAATACTGGCTTAGGGATAGAGAGGATTTCAGACGTGACATGGCTGCGCATCGTTGTACCGTATAGGTGTGGCCAGTTGTGACCCCTGACACACAGGCAGCCGACACGGCAACGGAGGTCACAGTCACATGCAAGACAGTTTTACCCATGTGAGTATCTGCAGACTGCCCTGGATTACTCGGGTCTTCAAATTAGATTAATCAAGCCCGTGAAGGTTCTCACATGCTTAAGTATTTGTGGCAGCAGGTACTAAGGCAGAAGAGATTGAGTCCTGGGTGGTTTTTTTGTCTGTTTGTTCCTTTATTAAAACACCCAGGTGGAGTGTCCTTACCTTTGCTCCATGACTCCCTGGTACCCTCCATCTTCCCACAAGCAGGTTGGTTTGAGTAGTAACTGTTAAAACAACAACAGCAAGTGCTTTCTGCACTACTAGGGATAATCAACTGGGTGACGCCCGTCTTAACCCTGGAAATTCGGGGCAGTGGACTTCCAGAGAAACCGGAGCGAACTACTCAAGAAACATTTACAGATGATACGCAATAAGGAGCGATGAACATGAGAGTGTGTCAGGCCAGAAACAGTATTTCTACTTGTTTCCAGGAGCACCGGGTTTACTCCTCGGAACTTACCTTGCACGTTGCTGTACAAAGCTATAATCACGGGGCAAAAAACCCATCTCAAATAAGAGTATTTTTAAAATACGATTGTGTCCCCTTATTCATAATGCTAGTAGAATGTAAAAACATATTAAATAAGCATCAGACCTTAATTGTCAGTCTTAAAAATTTCCAGGCCAACTCAGTGGCCAACTTGCCACATATGTAAATGAGGGCTGCGGTTTTCTTCCTTTCAGAAAAAAAAAGGCATTTTAATTTTTCATTTTTTTTAATTAAATGTGATATCAGCTAGGAAGTGTTTCCAATTTTATACCTCGTTTTCCATATAAACCTGTTTTTCCTGCTTGAACCCAGAGTGCAACATGAAATTAAGTAACAGATTTTGAAGCCTCCATATATGCTTATTTAATTGACAAACGAGAGCCAGACTGTTCCTCCCTTTGGAAGAAGCGAAGCACCACCTTGCTCACAGATGAGAAGTTTGCCAACATCAAGCATTTCACATTTTTGACATATTATGCAGTTGAATGCAACTGTGTCATCAAAGTAACTTTTTGGAGAACTTGGGTTCTCAATTTCAGCTTAATTGTTTTTAAAGTACCACAGGTATTTAGTAGGATAGGATACCATTTTTAATGTAACTTATCTTGCTCCCTTTAACATATCAGTTGTTCATTTCCATCAGTTTGGCTATGCAGAGGAAAAAAATGACATTAAAAAACCGCAAGCCCATATAATAAGAAATCATCACATTTGATTTGAAGAGGTAAACATTGTTTCAGGAATCCTTAAAAAAAAAAAAAAGATCTGACAGTAAAAAAACGTAACACTAATTGTGGAACAAGCAAGACACTTTTGGAAAACTACCCTTTTCAAAATACATAAATTTATGCTTAATAGTGAAATATATGTTTGTATCTGCTCTAATTTGAGGGGAAAAAAAGGCACCCTCTTTTTCAGCTGTGTTAGCCATCATCTGGATTATAGCCATTTGCTTTAATAATAATAAAAAAAACCCCCAATCGGGTTGTATTTTTACGTCTATCATCTTCAAATAGATATTTTAAAAAGTGTAGAATTTGAAATTGTTATACACTTGATACAGAACCACAGCAATGCTATTAATGGTCCAATTTCCAAGCATAATTCAACACGTGCCAACAAGCTAGTTGTGCACTACGTCAAAAAATAGGTCAAAACCTAAAAATAAACCCCCACGCCACACTGACATGTGTTTCACTGCCCTTCCTTGCTTTAGTAGTTTCAGGTATTTTGAAATGGTTTGCCTCACCAGAGGCAACTCGATGAGAAGTGGCAGTCACATCAAGAAAAAGGAAACTATCCAAACGGTTCAGGTTCTTCTTCCTCCGCTCTAGCAAAGAGTTGTTATTTTCAGACCCAGTGTATATTCATGTGTGTTTGTGTCTGGAAGTTCAAGTACTAGTGATCATCAAATGAAATGTATTTCTGTTTTAAGCAGGGAAAATATCAACCTGGAATTAAGCTATGATCAGTTCTAAACGAAGTCTCTTCCAAGTGTTCCTTCTGTCATGAATTCCTGAAGCATCTTTCTTTCATTTGAAATGTTACCCACCCGCCTTTCTAAAAATGATTTGCTATTTGCTATTATAGAGAGGGGATCTGAAACCAGGGTTAACCAAACTTTTTGGTTGTGGAAATTTTACTGTGGAAAAGAACATAAAACTCTCATAAATTTACTTGTCAGCAGCAAAAAGACTCTTCAAGTGTCTTAACCACTGTACAGCTCGATAGTTTTAATACTTCAACATTTTTTTTTCCAGTTTTCATTGTTGAAGAAATAATTTCACAATCTCAAATCAAAGTCAACACTGCAGTGAGGAGAGCTTTTCTACTTTATTACAAAGAGAAGAAGCCTTTATGTGGTCAGAAAATACAAGATTGATCTTTTTTTTTTTCTCTTCCTATGAAACGCTGCTGTTCAAACAGCCAGAGTGAATTGTCTCAGTTCACTTCTTTAAGTCCCATCACATTCACTTGGGTATGGATGTCCTTGGCTGCTGAAAATCTGGCCCTTTAGTGCACAGGGCGACAAAGTAGTCCCCTGACCAGCAGTTCCAGAATGTCCCGTTTTCATATATTGCATCCATGCACACCTCCTAAAAATGAGGTACAGCAGGGCAAACATTTTCCAAAATAGATGTCATATATATAATATATACACATTCGTACATACATACCTTTATTCATGTGATGTCCAAAAATTTAAAAAAAATGTACACATTTATTACAAAATCGTAACAAAGACTGGACAGTGTTTTGCTCATTCTGGAAAGATGAAGCTCAGTAATACACAACTCTGGAAACTAACCAGAGACTGTGGCAATATCTTTCTTCTAAACAGTCAGATATTCTTGCATTAAGCTTGGCGAAAACTGCCTTTCAAAAACAGAAGGGGAAGTAAAATGAAGGAAGCAAACCTTGCTCATCTTTCCAAATGAAATACGAGAAGGATCTTCACATAAAAATGCACAAACATTTTTTATTACCAATAGTGCTACAATGAACAATGCAAATTTTGTTGTCTAATTTTTTGTCTTTTTTCTTTTTTTTTTTTTTGTTTTTACATTTTGGAAAACTAAGTGGTAAACTTTTGTCAGTGTACTCGCTTGTCTTTACAGACCCAAGCTTGTCTGCTGGCAAAAAATAAAACAAAAACAAAAATTCAGACCCTGCTCAAACTAAAGAAAAACAATTACAAATTTAGTTGTTGGGCAGCACATAATTAGTAAGGCAGGACCTCAAATGGTGACCCTTCGCATGAGCCAATTGCCAGATCCTTAAGGAATTAAAACCAGGATGCCTGAGCCACATCAGTTCTGCAGTTATGTTGAGTATTGTGCTGAGACAGCCATACCCCAAGAAAAGGGAAGTCTTTAGAAGGCTTGCTGAGCAGGGTTGTAGTTGAAGGTTGATGGCAGATGAGGCCTTTCTTCTAGTTTGTCATATTCCAGATGGAACTCCTACAATTTAAAAAAAAAAAAAAAAAAAGACAAAACCAAGTAAAACAACGTATCATTTACCTGTCAAGAACTGTTCGTTCTACCAGCCATACTTGAAAAGCACAAATACAGAAGAGATCCAAGTCCTAACTTATCTCAAGGCAGAAACACATGATTTCGCTCTCTGTGATTGTGTATCTTAATTAAGAAAAAGTCAATATACCAAGCCATTACACCTGCAACATGTAGGCTCTCCTATTTTTTTTAATGTTACATTACTCTCAGAACCCTAGTTACAATCTCAAACAATATTATGTATATGTTATGTATATGTTATATTATACATATATAACAATATGTATACATACACACACAAACTACAAATATACAATCATGGCATGAGATGACTTGTGAATAAAAGCTTCTGTCTTTCCACAGTTCAGATGTACAGAGACTTACTTGGGATGACTTGAAGTTCTGGGATATTTTGTGCCATACTACCAGACCCAATTGTAAGTTAAACTAGCTAGGTTTCTCCTTAGTACAAAATCGGGGAACATTATATAAAATGCTAGACACAAACTACTGAAACCTATTTAAGCCAGAATTTAGCAAAATACTTCACCACATTTCATACTCAGATTTAAGGTCCAGACTCACCCAACCCTCCTGTACATCCTGAGCTCCTGGTTCCTGTAACCTGCTTTGCTAATATCTTCCATGAGAACTTCTGCAGGTGTTTTATAAACAACCACACAAAATAAAAATCTTTGCCCATGTACTCGGATGCCACACAGGCTACTGGTTCAATAATAAGCAGCTTAACTGTCTCACTGGCAAAGTCACCTGACTTTTCTTTGAGGATGTCTGGTTTGCGTAATCATAAAACGCTTCACTGATCCAGTAGGAATTCTTATGCTGATTATAGCGACTACTCCTCCTCCTCCTAAGATTGTAACCGTTCCTGATGTCTAAATGCATCCCGATTACTACAGTGAAAAGCAGTTTCCTTCCCTGTGACCTTAATTTGCGCACACAATCCTAATTAGTACACTTCGACATTTGGTGCTTGCTGCTTCATTCATGCAAAAATGTACACGGACTTATTTAAGCCTTATGTTTTTCAGATCATTTCAGCAGTCTAACTGTATCATCCCCATTTTCATTCAGGAAGCAGGGTAAGCAGAAGTTTCAGAATTTTTCTTTAATGCTGCTATTTGGTAGTTCAACAACAGCTACTTTGGACACATGCTGTAATGTGTTTTGCCTAACCCAGTGGAGAACATCAGCAGAACATCATCTGTATCTGCAGAGCAAACTTCCCCCACTATTTTTAAATACAGATGAAAACACTAAGAGTAGCAAATAGATTATTTTATAACACTCCCTAAAGCGATTAAATAATGTAGTATTTCAGTTTTTACAGGTAGACAAACCAAATTAAAGACCAAATCAATGCAAGACTAGAAATAAAATCTAGGAAATCCAACTCTCGGACCTCTCTTCTTCACAGCAAAACAAGGCCCATTCAGCATGGAAAGAACATTCAGCATGCTAAGGAAGCAAAACAGGGGAAAATGCTAAGCGCTCAGTAAGCCTGTATTCCCCGGAGAACACAGTCCCTAAACCTGGAAAATCCCAGCAAAACCTATGTGAGGTTACAGCCATCTGCACTGAAGTGCTGCACATCTGCCTCATTTCTGGCTCCCCGCTCTCTCCTCCAACCAACATTCGTGCTTTTTTACATTGTATATATAAAGTCAGTTGGTTTTGGCATTCCTAATTAACCCTGATGCCAGTTGGTGTATGTTCTCTTTTGGGGCAGGTACATACACATGTGCCGATACTGAAGAGATGCCTGCTCCCTCCTTTTGTCAGAAGCAAGATCAAGGTGTACAAATCTATGTGTGCATTTTGGTGTCAAAGGCTGGTTTTGGTTGGCTGGATCTTCAGTAATTCTGAAGTCATTTTTTAATAGAAAAAAAATACCACTGAAATCTCTCCAATTCATGGCTTTCAAAGTTTCCATTTTGCACATAATCATGGAAGGGTCTGCACATTACTATCAATCTATGGTCAGCTGTTGGGGAATTGCTTCTTCAACAAAATTGTAAACAAAGAGAAGAGTTCATTAATAAAAGCTTCTACCAGCTACCTGAACCTCCACACACTCTGAAATGCCTTCAAAATCACCCATGGAAAATGGCCACTTAAACCAGTAAGACAGTATCAGTAGCCTAGAAAGGGCTTTCCAAACTTAAGGTGGTTGCGAGCCCCTATTGGGAGTAGCAGCTGCGAGCAAGGTGCGTGTCTGAAAGAAATGCTCAGGAGCTTGAGCAGCCCTTCACGTGCCGCAAGTTGGAAGCCTCTCATTTAGAAAAGGAAATAGGATTCCCTACCAAATTTCCTTTAGGAGTATGTGAGTTGATACCTCAGACTGACATCGATTTTTAAAATAAACAGGCCTTTTTGATTTGCATCCCAGTGTTGGCAATGCTCAAGTCCAGTCTCCAGTAGTGTATAAGAACACCTGAAGTTACATATGACAATACCAAAAAAAAGAACTCGTTGACAAAATATTTTTGAAAACTAAAAGGCAATTATTTATTACGTATAGAAAAATACTTGTATTACAGGTATACTTTATGTTTTTGCTTTTGATTCCAGGGGCCACTGCGGTTTAGGATGTGAACAGTAGCACTGATATTTCTTAATATAAACAAATACAAATAAAATGTAAAAAAATGCCATTTATCCAGTGACAAACATCTCTTAAATTGTTTTATTTTCCACATGGAAGTAATTATTAAAAATTAAATATATTTTATTAACCAAGAATAACAAATACTAAATGTGTGTAGAAACTTACAGCACATGTACGACACTTAATAATTGTTCTATGCAAAGAAATGAATCACTTCTCATGTCATCCTCAAAACTTGTTTTGATGGTAAAGTTACATCGGCCTGCACGTGTACAAACAGTAATAGGTAAGCCTACTAAAAGTAGAAGAGATTTGCTTAAGGTGATCCATAGCATTCATAGAGTAAAACAAAACAAAAAGCTAGCTGAATAGGAAGTGTCCTAAGGACAAAATATTCTGGACTGCCTAAGTCCATCGAAGGAGACAACAGAAATCCCATGGCTAGCTCAAAAACTCCAAGTGGGACCAAAAAAAGTAACATTTATACTGACTTAAAGATAGATGCAAAGACCCAAATTTAAATGAGGGGCTGAATTAAAATGCTACAGCACATCTCTATTAGAAGAACAAATTTAACTTTCTAACAATTATAAAAGTATTTCCATTAATACCGATGTTAAAAGGAAAGGAAGTAATTTAATATATGCAGCAACCCCTATAAGCAAATAAATACTCGGAAGTTTAACCTGCTCTCCCATAAAGAATTCCACATTTTATAACTACAAAACAAAAGTAAAAGGGTTTTATAATCTTGTTCCTTAAACAGGTTTAATTCTCCTCACTTTTCAAAGGAGGAATTCCAGACAGTTTTCTTCAGACTATTTAAACCAGGATTTCAGTAAATGTGCAATTGTAGAAGGCATTTTTGGTCTCATATCCACTTCCTTTCCTCTCTCATTAGTCTCTCTCTCATGTCTCCTCAACAACAGCAAACTATATAGCCAAATCCTCAGTGAAAAAATCAAAAGTGTCTTTAACCATACTGTACTTTCCACATGCCCTAAGATGAAAAACCATATATACAGACATATCTGTAATCAGCATTTTCCTGCATTTTGTTTTGCATTTAAGGTGAATTTGAAGTTCATTGTCATTCCTACTTTTTCCACTATTTACTACCACGTATCAACATAGAATTAATTTTAAATCCTAACAGCTTAGGAATTGTCTCATTACTCAGCTATTTTTCTGCATCTCCTTCTGTCTATTATCTATTAGGAATATAAAAATAGAGCCTATAATAAAAAAGATATTATCTGATGTTTTCTTTAAAGAAGTCATTAAGTTTACTTTAGTGGGCTTTGTTAAAACCAATCTAGGACACTATCAAAAAAATCTATTAAACCACGTCTGGTTTATATGTTTACAAACTTAGTCTTAAAATTTACTAGTATTATCTAAAGTGAACAGTTATATTTCACTGTAACTATTGTAATGCAGTGTAATTTAAAATAGGTACAATAAATACATAAGCTCATAATGCATCATGCACCGCGTCTGCAAAGCACAATAAATTAAAATATGTGCTGCCCTATATTTGAGCATATACACTATAACAATGGACAAATTCATAAAGCACCTTGAAAAACAATTTAATTTGCACATACAAGAGATAGCCATTTACCAGAAATAATTCCTGTCTGACTGCTTCAAAAAAGGACTAACGGAACCGTTAAGCAGTAATTACTATTGTGGCCTTCTATGGAACTGATATTCACTAATAATGTAGCAGTTATAGTAAGAGACTGCAATTTATCAGAATTCTTTCTTTTCTTTTCCAGCTTCTTATATTTTTAATTTCTTGAAACATTAATTAATAGTTCTGCATTTGTTAGAAAAAATTACTTGGCCATACTTTTCTTTGCTTTCAAAGCAACATGGAGCTACCAAATACTACCATTCTTGTTACGGTAAGTCTAGGTTAGTCTTCCTCCAAGGAAACGTCAACTCCAGAAATTGGTATCAGAATTAATACAATGCCAAGATCACACCTGACACACACCTAAGTTCTTATTGATTTATCGTAGACAGAAACATCACAGAATTATTTCTATCAAGTGATTCTTTTTCCATGTCAGAAAATAGCAATTTTTCCCCAAATCTTCTCTAGCTTCCTGTGATCAGTACTCCACTTGCCTGCTGTATTTTGCACCAAACTAAAATTAAATAAAGATTTCAATAATATTCCAGTTCCAATTTTTACATTAAGAAATACACAAGCCTAAGATACACAAGATATTATCTCTTCTTACGGACACTGGGGCGGAGGGGAAATCATGTTCCTTGTTAGCTTACCGCTGCAAGCGCAAAACTTCAGAAAACACTAGCTATCAATTGCTTCTTAATGGTGGAGGCATTATTTTCAGTATGCAAAGTAAAGAGAAGAGAATGTGTGTAGATCTTGGGCAAAATCATTCAGAGAGCAGTAGTGATCCGTATCTAGGAATGCCTAACAGATGAAGCCAGCTCTACTCTTTTAAAAGAGGAAGGATGTAATGTGCTAATTAACACCTCAAGCACTGGACGCTGAATTTCAGGACAGCACTCAGGACTCCCAACAGAGATAATAAGGTCTTCAAAAGTAATGCTTAAGCATCAAGTAGCAGCTTCATACATTTACTACACGTAGAAAAAGAAGAGACATTAAAGAGGCTACTATTTTTCTACAGTGAGCACCACTTCCTCCTAGTAAAAGAAATGTTGTTTCCACATAGGGTAAAAACTCAATGCCATTGATATACGAACCGGCATGAGGCTCTTATTGCTCATAAATAAATGGAACATATTCGGTTGACTCCAAAGAAGAAATCTATCCTTTCAAAAGGTACTTACTTCCCCTCTGGTGATCTTATGTTAATAATAAAATAGCTTTAAACAGCATCCTGAGAAACCTAAGAAAGTATACCAAGCAGCAAATAAATAATTCAAGTAGAAATTAAAACTTTCCTTTTGTTTGGGTTTTCTTTTGAGGGGAGAAATGCTTTTGCTTAAAAGTTTTGGAATTACCTTGCACAAGAAACAAAACAACAACAACAAAAAAAACCCGTACAAGTAGGGCTTGCCATTAAAACCTTCAGTTACAAAATCTTGGTTTTCTTATGGTCACAAGAAAGGCAGCAGAGGCAAAGTCACACATGCAAACGGACTAAGAGCCTCCCATACCATTTGGGGCAACTAAAAAGTTGATTTCTGATGAGAGCTTGCACAGACTAAGTAAATTTACTGGGGGGAGAGAGGAAAGACAGAAAGACAGACAGACAGAGAGAAAGACAGAAAGAAAGAGCATTATATCTAGTTAATCTCTAGATGATGGCAAATTTCAATATACTGGCTAGGAAGAAAAGTAACGCACTTCACAGAGGGGAGAACACTGAACTTTATTCCCTTTAAATTAAAGTTGATGTTTAAATAAAAACACATCAACAGACATGTAACTATGTAATGCAGTATTTCATAATTTCCAAGTGTATAGATGGAACTTGCTCACAGAAATGAAATGCCTTTTCAGCAAACAATTCCTAAGTTATGCTCCAGGTGAAAAGATTTCTGATTAAACAAAATACCTATGTATTTGGAACCACAAAACGTAGTTCCAGCATGCTGGAATCGCATCTGTTGAGTTCAAGGCTTCAAGATTAATCTAGTCTGATCTGTTAAGTGTTTTTCAGAGAAAAGCAAGAGTGTTATGCTGCATCTACAGAAGGACTGACATGGAAGTTTTATGGATCTTTCATCAATGAATCCAACATGTTGGTTAAAACTTGAAGCAAAATCATGCCACATCCATAAAATCCTATATAACCAAACTGAAGTGGGGAATGAGATTCTTGACAAACTATTTAGCTCAAACAGACTCTAGGGAGGTGTAATGGTTGTATGCATATTGTGAACGTATCTTTTTTCAGCTCCAGCTCATGCGGAATGCCATCACCTTGTAGGGCAGCTATATTCAAAAGAGCACACCTCTTTGCCAGGTTAGTGAATGTCAGCATTTCTGTCTAGGCAAACAGTGCTTTGGCATACCTACATTAGAAAAATCCTTGCTTTAGTGGGGAAGAGAAATCACAGAAATCACGATCCAGCCAGCAAAAGGCATCATACAACATGGTCTTACAAGCTGGAATTGGAAATTGGATGGTCTTAAAAGCTGGAAGATACTGAAAATTAATTCTCTTTGGGCGAGGGTAGAGAAAATGAAGGACAATTCTGTGAATTTCTTCAGCAAACAAGTAAAGGGTGAACGTTACTGACAGTATTCATGGACAGAAAGGAACAAATAGACTGTGATAGGTGGGAAGGGAGAAGACTGTAGCTTTATGTTTTTTTTAATGCCTTTTGGCCTAGAATATAGAAAACAAGCATTATGAAAATATACCTCCTCCCTAAAAGAAGTGATTTATTTCAAAGGACTCTGATGTTCAAACAATAAAGCATGAAAGTCCTGCAGTATGCTCAAGGAGAGACAGTTTCTGAAAAGCAAAAAAACACTCTCCCCACACCCCATCTCACCCCCATTTTTAATTCCAAAGTGAGATGTGGTAGTTCCCTATTTAATTTTCTAAAGCAAAATAATAAAATATTTGCAAGCACAATTCTACAATGCCAAATAATGCTTTCTATTCTATAATTCTATACTTGAAAAACAGCTTTTGGTTTTAATAAAACTCACAGTAGAAGTTCTATGTCCTTGTACCTCCCAAAGAAAACTCGAAATAGAAAGACAGCTCCTCCTCTTCCACAAGCAATCCAGTATTTTAGGCAATCTTTATTCCCTCACACATCAAGATATTGAACTTAAACAACAGGAGGTTAAAAAGTTTGATATTTTTGGGGAGGAGGTTGGGTTTTACTTTTGTCCTTCTAAAAATACATGGTTGACTGACTTAAAAAATCTGCACAAGGGAAAAGAGATACCTTAGCTACTTTCCTCCAGTTAAGACAGTCAAAGAAGTAATATGTTCCCCTCTCGTACGTATTGGTTTTCATTGTTGGCTCCATGCCGGGTGCCCTGGTGATCCATACTCGTTCTTCTTTGTGGTATCTCCAATCCCGGTTAAATCTTTCATTTTTAACAGGAAGGAAAAATAATTTTTAGTGTTAGTTATCTCAATGTGACTTAAACTAAAATTTTAAGGGTTTCAATCAAAACTGTACAATGCATTCAAAACCAAAACAAAATTTCTAAGACATCATTATACCTATGATGTCGTATCTCTTCCATACAATTATTACACCTCAAGCTAATCACATGTGAGACTTTAAGAAGTCCGGTAGGTTCAAACACCAAACTCTTTTTATGATTATTTACTGTTTTCCATTGTGTTAAAGACAGATAAGTTAGACGTTTAATAATGACCAGCACCTGCCACTTTTTCCACAGTGCTTCAGAATAATGAAAAATTCATGAGACGGACTTTTGATTTCCACTATATGAATGAAAAAAAAGTACAAAATGGAACCAAGGTTGGAGGAGGTATTTGAAAAAAGGTTTCCAGCTTTAGATTGACTAAGTTTCTGCTTTCAGTGTCTAACTTGTTGGGTGGTTGGTTTTTTTTACATCTACTACTTGATTACTGCAATAGATTAAATCATATAAGACTGACAAAATAGTTTGAACGTACAGCTCTACTGCTGCTAATAGCTGTAATACATCTCCTCCATTCATGTAATAGAGATAAAACAGGAGATCTTCTCCATATCGGCCAAGTTTTATTGCAGCCAGCTGCAAAAGATTGAAGAAAATGAGGATGAAAAATCACAATAGATAAATGTTTTAAGACATACTATCCCACTTAAATAACACAAGGATACATCCAGAATGTGCTTCCATCCTAAGTATGTTGCAAATGATAGTCTAATATAACAGGAGTAACAATTATTAACAATCAATTTTTCTTCACTTTTAGCTAACCCTTCCAAGTTAAAGGATACAATAGAAAAATAAACAGAAGTAATGAATCAGCAACACAGAATTTTCTGCCTGAACTTGTGTGTATCCTTACCTACTTACTTTTTTTAATTAAAAAAACCCCAAAACAACACACATTTACATGTATTTCGTCACTTCACACTCTATTAAGTTACATTACTAAAATGTCTTACAATATTTCTCAATGATGTCTCTTACAGAACTGCAACAGTTGAAAGAAAATGTATCTAACAAAAAAATCCCTATCCATGTAGATATTGAATGCAACAGATAAATATGAGAATATCTTCAACCACAATTCCGAGATTATCTCAAAAAGAACTATCTCAATTTAATATGGCATTTGAATATTACAGTGTATGGACTATACGAAGCTTCTGCTTTGCCTGAATGGAAAACTCTTAAAAACACAATATGCTCTTTTCCTAACCATGGCCATTCTCAGTTTTATCTTCCCTTTCTTTTTCTAAGGAGAAATGGGTGCATGGTATGTCCAATTAGCCAGTTAACACACAACTGTTCCTAAAAAGATTGAGGGCATCCACAAAATGCACTGATTTTGAACATTACCTATCTGAAAGAAAATTTAGAAAATTACTGGTAATAAATTAACAAAAAAATACGCGCGCACACACACACGTACTCACCTTATCCCTAATGTGAATGTTAGTTAAGTATTCAGATGGAACATGGAAGTCTAAAAGAGAAGCGGAATTGATGCAACTATTAAGACATGTAAATGAATATAATTTGCAAATATTAGTATTGAATTAAATAGTTATTTCTCTCTTACCTATGTCTTGAGGTCGACAAGGTGATGATGCCCAGGGTGACGCAAATTTGGGATAAAGATTTCTGAAGAATAAGAAAAGCACAAATTTATCAAAAATAAAAGCAAAACCCAAACCAACCAACCAAAAACCTCCGTAACCAACCTCACAAACCCGAAAACCATACCACACAACCAAAATCTCTAGCTGGAGTAAGAAGGAAGAATAAAATGAAGTTTCCAGCCCCCTTTCCTAAAACAGCTACATTCATTAATTATTTTTTTTAATATGCGGAGTAAGACTGCATTTAAACTGCCATGGGAATTTACAGGGTCAAGACCTCCTTTTTAATCTATCATTCCTTCAACTTAAATGCCAGGGATCCCAACCCTTTTCAGGGATCCAATTTTACATAGGGTTTCAGTTTGCGTAGGAACAGCTGCCACAAGCCTGGTAGGTTCTGATTTATCAGCTGATCATTTAAAAGGGGAGGAAAAGCTTATACTGGCAGATTTTTTTTTTTTTTTTAAACTAGTCAGTAAAGATTTTACTCTTCTTCTAAATTTCAGTGATGACAAACTGAATCCCAGGACAACATGGACATCAGTTTATTATGATTTATGTATTTTTCTTTCATACAGATTTTGCTAACATACATTATAAAAAAGTATTGAGCCATTAGTTTAATAAAGAGAAAATTATGAACCTTCCAACTCTACTACAATGACTGCTGTACTGAGGAATGAGTTTTCTAATTAACAGGTAAGGAAGTGGAAAAAAAGGACTGAACAAAATGTACTTTTGGCAGGTAGCTACAGTCTACTTTTAATTATCCATGATAGCATGCTATTATGGTAAGTTTTGCAAATGAAACTTGAGTATGGTACACCCTATCAAATCCTTGCTTCTTTCTTGTCAAGGCCTAATAATTACTATTAAAAAAAAAATACTGGAAACCTACTGAATTACCTGAACACAACCAACTGCCAGCTGAGCTATACAGGCCACACTGATCAAGTGGTGTCAATCTTCCTCTAAGCTAGTAAATCTCACTGTTAGCAAAAACTTATGCTTTAGAGCCTGAAGGAAGATGTCAGGGGCAAAATCTGCAGATGCTGAAAATACCTAAACCATTCCTTCTACTGAATCGATAGGCATAGACAGGCATTGCCCCAAGAGGAGTGTCCTGCAACTCCATCACCTCATGCGTGTCCTAGAGGCTTGGCTTCCTAGGGCAAAGAACCCAGGATTTTAGTCTTGGGACTGCACCTCTGTATGCAATAAAAACTGAAGAGTTTGTGCACACTGTTCCCTCCATGATACAAATAAAAATCTCAAAATTTAACATTTTTCAAGGAGGTATTGGACAGCCTACAGTCTATTTGATGAATATTTCAGATCACTTCATAACATGAACAAACAGCTATTAATCTCTAAAGAATTAAATGTAGTAATGCCATATTTTTCAATTTTTGTTTATGGAGAATTTTAAGTTACCCTAAGGAATTAGAAGCCTATTTCTTAACAACAAAATACAGGACTGTACAGGCAATATATATTCATTCTTTCAACAACCGAAATAAAGCTTAACCTACCTGCACAGAAAATCTACACAAAACTAGGAGTTCGAAGGTTAATTCAAACCATTAGAGGTATCTACAGAACTCTAAAATGTTGTTTCTAACAGCACATTTATTGTTCTAAGTGTTTAAGTGAGACAGGTGTCTTTACCATCAGAAGTACCTCAACAAGGCAGAAAATTTCAGTTTTCCACATGTGAAATGCTTTTAGTTTTTCAAACAACAATTCATAAAGGAAGCAAAGCATGTCTAACATAAGGCAAGATGGCAGGCTGGACACTGAGAGACTGCACAGGCTGTTTGCAAATCTTTTCTGTAGTATAAAATAGAATCATCTTTCTGATACAAAACTGTCTGGATAAAATATTAACCCTACCCGCTCCAAGGCCCTCAACAGCCTATACAGAGAAATTAAATGTTAAAAGCTTTTAAAAATCCAGTTATTTACTGCTAAGGAAAAGCAGCAGCATGCCAGGTATATATATCTGCTTATGTACGAAGACACACTAGTAATTTGGATGCTGTATTCCAGAGCTGCATAACACAGCTACAAGTCATCACATCATCAAAGCATGTTTAGTATTCCTCTGCAATGATACTAGTTTTATGTAGACTTTCTGATAGGTATGTTAAGCTCAAGTTTTATGCTAGTCATTAAAACTAATGAATACCATTGACTAAAATAACAAATAGTATCACCAAAATTAGCATCACTACTACTATTTTGCACTCCAACATCTAGAAAAAGTAGCTATTTAACCAAACAACATAACTAGATTCCACCTGTGTCTAGGAACAGCTCAAGAATTCAGGTACCGCTATACTTGAAAATATTTTAAAGAGCAAAGGCATTCTACTTTCAGCTGATCATCCTCAGCTTGAGCAATGTTTGAGCAATCTGTACTAAGAACAGCAAATTACTTCAGTATCATGTAGATCCAGGAGACCCATCTCCCAGTCAGTGTTGTAAGCTCTGGGACTACCAAGGAAAAACAGTAACCCATGGTCAGTAAAACTGTTCTTTGTGCATTCTCTTTATGTTGTGGGAGAAGGGGATGGGAGTGGGTAACTACTGGATTCAACGGGGGAGCGACCTGCAAAGGCTAACACTACAAGTGAAGATACTACATTAACATAACACATTCTGCAAATAACTACATACAATTGTATTAGAAGGCTGACTTTGGATGATCTTTTTGAAATATTTTTAAAAGTGCCAATGGCATAGCAATTTGACCAAGTTTTGATGCAAGCTCTACAGAAAGAGTTTCTGTAAGTGGCAATTTCTAAAAAGTTACATCTCTAGAAAGACATAAATTCATGCCAATTCTTTCAAGACAGAAAAAAAATAAGGACAAATCATTTTTCCTAAGCTTTCCCTCTCACCTTGATATCCACATTCATCAATCCTCCCTGAACTTGTGCATTCAGAGTGCAGCTCCATCTAAATTTGCGAAATATGGAAACTGTGTGTGTGCTGTTTGGTCTTTGTTTTGTTAGTATATTATGTGCAAACCTTAAAATGTATGTACTGCTCTGTCAGTAAGACTAACACTATGTAAATTTCTGCTGAAACAAAATGATGGGAGATTCTCAGCTGAAAGTCAGAATACCAGAAATTAAATTGCTCTCACACTTACAGTCACCTAGAAGATAAGCATTTTTGTCCAAACTGATCTAGGTTCCTTCTATAACTACTGGAGAAAGAGAGGCACCCTGGGCTGGTGATTCATCTCATCTATCTTAAGCACTTATCACTAGTACAGTTGCTAACTGCTTTTCTCCCCAGTGCCTCTACAGGAAGCCTAGATGGCTAAACTTAGGTGAACTGAATAACTATAAGTTAACTATAAAAATACATTTTCATTTAAATTAATCTTTGGTGCAGGGTAACACTCTAGATGCTCTGTTCATTATTACATTACTATAAATTGAATTTACCCCCCAAATTGCTGAGAGTTAAGTGTAGATATCCTCAAAGAATATTATTATTTGAAAAATACTCTATACATTAAATTTATTACCAATACAATGTTAATTCCTTGAAAAAAGTCCTAAAGAAGTTAGATGAATAAGCAAAGCCACTAGGTTTTTTGAAAGCTTGCATAACAAGATCTCAGTATGCCTTGAAGCACAATTCTCTTGTTTACGAGAATTTTATTTTACTGTCATTACATTTTTAAATTTTATTTGATAAAATATCTTGTGGGTTTGATACTCCTGTGAGCTAAGTGAGCCTATTATGAATGACAGCATAATAAAACCAAACCTGAAGATAGTACTAATAACCAGAAACTTACTCAGGAGAGTTGAGATTGAGACCTAGTGTTGTTAGATCACTTCCTAATGCAAGATGTACCATTCCTGGATCTGTCTCTGCTGCCCTGATGAATGTTAACAAGCCAATCATTCCAAACTGGTCCGTCACCATCCCTTGAGGAATGTTGGTAACCCGACCTGGGCAAGAAGAGCATATTAGTTTTCTCCTTTCAAGAAGTGGAAGAATCAACAAGGTGATCTAAATGACTGTCAAAACCTTTAAAGAAAAAAAAAGTGGAATGACACATACCATCAGGTAACACCTGGATCCCTTTTTTCTGCTGGTTGTTGTTTTGCGTAGTTGAACTTTTATCTCCAGGAAACTTGGGCCCATCTGTGCTGGATGATGTTTTGCCTGATGTACTCAAATTCTATTAAAAATAATTTGCAGAGTTGGTATGATGGAAACAAACCAAAATGGAAAAACTTGTTGACCATATCTTTCACTCAAGCGTTCTAAACCAGTACATCAAGTCACTCTCACAAATTAGGCACTAAAATTGAACAAAGCTGAAGCTCCTGAGTTCTGTTGACAAACCTTATGTAGTATTTACTGCTTCCTAAAGTATATCTGTCATACAATAAGAGCTATTAATGAGCCTACAGCTTGCAGTCTAAAAGGATAAGAAAATACTTCACACCTGAGTTTGAATACACAATGGATATCCCAAGTGCCTGTGACTAGAGGATATTTTGGATATTTTAGACTCATCATGTCATGTATTTTTCCCCATACAGTCTTGCTCTCACCTAACGCTCCATGACATAGCAACAGATAATAACTCAAGCCAATTTCAGGTGCAAGCAATATACAGTTGGCACATTTGCAGCTATCAGGAAAGAGATGTAAACACTGTATCTGGCAAGAAAACTGTGATGGCACTCCAGGAGCCCATATACTTACAAAAGATATCTTCCGTAATTACTATGCCCTAGTTTTTATTATTCTTTAAAAGAAGTCTGCAGTAACACAATAGAATTACATTTACTCCCTCCTTCCTTACTGTATTCAATGCTAACTGTATCAGAACATATTTTCCACACAAAAAACCTGGCCACAACATTTGGGGGCTAGGCTTCCCCCCATCCCTTTTCTGAACAGTTGCATTTTTCAGTTTTCACATGAGTTTGTAGTCACTCTACTGCCTATTCATCTGTATTTATGCCACCCTGATTAACTTTTTTTTTCAATTATAAGTAGTAAAACAATCAGAAACTAGAACATTTTGTCAAATACTGCAGGAAACTGTTCTCTGCCATCCAAATTTTATTCACCTTTCCTTTGTAATTAAAAAACCCGATTTTTATTACAAATCTTTCAGAGTAAGCAATGAAAAAAACCCATAATCTTACCATCTAAAAGTAAGATGCTATCTAAAGCATCGTAATTACAACAATACTTAAGATACAGTGTATCCCACTGGTCTACAACATACCCATGAATGCAATGGTGTCTATTAAAAGAGCTTGCTCCCTGTGATTTCATTTCCCCATCAAGAATTTTACCTTGAAGTGATATTGTACCACCTAATATTAAAGGATTTGACAGCTTTGAAGAAAGATCTTATAATGTGTAAATTGCTACTACTGATGAGAGGCACCAACAGCGAAAAATGAGCTGGAATTGGTAGAAAAAGAAATTATGAATTGCAATACTTGAAAAATATATAACAATTCTCAAAAATAAATTTTGATGTGTGCTTGCAAGTTCCTCCCTGGCCCCTCCCCAAAATACAAAAGAATACACAGAAGTCATATGAAATTAAGAAGGCAAGGTCGCAGTGACTGTTGGGACCAAAAAACTTCCTGAAAAATTCCATTTACATAATTATATATGAAACGCTGCTTATGCAAAATTTCTCATTCATTTATAGGGGCAAATTTGAAAAATCTTGTATTACAAATTTTAAAATATAATCATCAAAAGAAGTAGGAACACTAAAAATAAAAGAAGATTTAAGGTTTACTTACAGATTTATTGTCATCATTACTCGATGTTGGGTCTTTGTAGCTGGAGCCTGGTAATGCTGGAAAATCTTCATTGTGTATTGAAAAGTCCTGGGACTGCTCACTTGCTGGTTTTGTTACCATTCCAACTATCATCAAAATGAAATCAGGAATAACATTAGAAAACTGCTAAGTAAAGAATTTTCTGCTGTTGATCTTGCTTACTGTCCATTTTCATTATGTGCAAGCTGTACAGCAGAAATTACTTTCAAAAAACAGGTAAACCAAAACAAAGCATATTCATTTAAAACATCCACACATATTAGACTAAAGCCTCTTATTTAAGTGTGAGCTGAGAAACACTCCAGGTTAAATTCATAGACACATCTACTGCTTTAAGAATGAAGCCCAGTACTTTTACCAGGAACAGCACCTGTTTTGCACATCTAAATAATCAAATAATTTTTACAGGCATTATTAAAGCGGTATTTAAGGAAATCCACTGATGAAGGAAGGATATACTGCTTTTAAGAGTATAATACATTTTTCCTCCATCCCCTAATTGCATGAAGAATTTCTTAGCATAATCTCTTTAGAAGCACAGATTCTTAAAGGATGCCCAGCTAACTCGCAACAGAACATATCACCAATGAAATACTTGCCTGTGACATAAGAACGACTCCTACTTTCAGTATGAAAACTGAAAGCATTTAGCCTGCAACTCTCAGTGCTCTGACCCTAATTTAAAAAAAGTAGGCCAGTCACATTGGAACATGGATTCCGACTACTGAAAAGCAACATTCCTTTTTTTTTTTTTTTAATGCCAGTTAAAAAAAAAGAAAACCAAAAACAAAACAACCAACCAACCAAAGAAAAGCCCCCGCACCACACACCCAAGGACAAATATTCTTTGCTGAGAGACAGAGAGGTAATACAGCGATTTGGTTGCAAACAAGACTACACTAGAGGAAGAGAAGACAGAAGCAGTCTAGGGCCTGTTTTTGCAAAGTTTCTTAATAGATGTATAGGATCTAAAATAGTTCAGTAGCTGACAATATATATGTCTTTATTGTTCTGAAGTTAGAGATCCAAGTTCCTTTATTTTAAGAAAAAACACTGAGTTAATCTTGTTTCTGCTGTTCACCCTTTTCATCCAGAGTTTTTATGATTTCTTCCACTGCATGAATAAAACTGATAATGAATTAACTGTGTGTTGCACATTCTCATTCTATCTAGAAAGTTGTCTGAAGTCTAATTTTCTTAAATAAGCTAAGTATGAAGAAACTACATCTCTGCTCAGTTTCAACCCTTTTTTTTTACTTCATCACAACCAAAAGCACTTGCCACTTTCTGTTGCTGGAGACAGTGTCCAGTGCATCTCATATCCCTATTTCTTGATCGTTTCTACCACCACACTCATCCCTTGCATTAAGCAGATGCTCACGATCACTTTTTCAGAGTTATTTCTTTCCTGGTTCACCGCACAGTCGTGCGAACAGCTATGCTAGCACCAAAATGCAGAAATGGTGTAAGCACGGGAGCAATTACGGTTTTATGCAGCAGTGCTGCTAAATGTGGAACTCCAGCTCCATGCTGGAAGTACGTGTGTGTGGATCTCCTTCCTAACTTCTATCAGTTTTCCATGTAATGGCTTCTCTTTCAGAGACAGACAAAAACCTCATGTAAACCACAAGCTGTATTAGCTCTCCACTCTCCGAGTGACTTTTCAGTGTCTCTGTTTGGGGAAGTGACTTCTCCCCATGTTTAGGAGCACTTCAGTTTAACTATAAGCTGTTTCTCACAGCTATCTTAAGCAGAGGGCCCTGGTTACACCCAATCCATGAGGCTACTTTGTCCTGATAACACGGTATCTATTATTTCTCTCCAATTAAAGTTGGAGATATCTCTCAAAAACACTAGCTTTTATAGTTAGAAAGCACAACTTTTTGGTTGGAAATTTGACAAGTGTCACAAAAATAACTTTAGGTTATAAAAGCAACTTCTCAGAGTAGCTGATGCAACATGCATGACAAAACCTACTAAAGCAGCAACCAAAAAAAAAATATTGTGCCTCACATTAAGCTTTACAGACCCAAATAATAAGATTTGTCTCCACCTTAAAGCTTTGCCTTTTACTATTTTCTAAGCTGTTCAGCAAGAATTATATAGGACACAGACTAGGAATCTGCCTACTAACAGTTGATGCTTACAGGTTAGTTTTTGAAATCTGATGTTCATCAGGAGAGTGACAGTGAACAGTACTACAGCAAGTACTGCCAATAAACAGAGAAAATATACAGTATGTTTACAGCTGCTGACTTTTTACACAATAGCATCTCTAGTAATCAAAGATTATTTCTAAGATTTACTACTCAGACCTCGACAGTTCTTGTACACATGCAATTAGAAAACAACCTGCTGCCTAAGAAATGCCTAGAGAGAGCAGCTTCAGAGTAATCATACTATACAGACTGAAAATCCCAACAACCTCTATTGATGCTGAAACTAAAGTAGACGAGTTCTAATACTTACAAAAGCCTGAGGGGAATCTCCAATCACAGAGATATTGATTATTTTTTTTTATTTTTAATGAGTCTTAGGAGCTCAAGTGTCTGGCATTTTTGAAAAGAATACCTATTGTCTTATGAACAGCAAAAAGTGAATCAAGCAAATACCGATTTCATTCAAAGAGCTTTCAAAAGTATAGTCTTACCATAGGGTGCCCTTCCAGCTAAAGGGTTTATTAATGGAGTTGGATTGCCACTTCCTTCCCTTCTGTTTCTGTCTGCTAGTGCTGGAAAATCTGAGAGGTCCAGTCCTGTCACATTTTCACTTCCATCTACAATAAAACCAGATATTTTAAATTCCCTTATGTTTCTTTCTTCGAGACTTCATTAGGTGCAAGATAAATGTAGGATCTATCTTCTTTCTTCAAGATGGTCTTTTTACTCTTACTGTAATTATTACAAATAACTACAACCACTCTGTTATGAGACTAGCCTAAAGAGCATGAAGGTGTTTGGGGTTTGTTTTAAAACAGTAGCTAGTCAACACTATTTAGTAACAAGGTCTACTTATTTTGAATTAAAGACTGCAGGTGTAAAATACAGGCAGACTATCAAAATCACAGTACTAGGATAGGTAGCCTGTTAAAATTTAAGGAGCTATCAAGAAGAAATTTGAGAAAAGATAATAACCCATATTAGCAGCAGCATCAAGGAGCTCTTTTGTCCTTAGGTAAGGTAAGATAAAGCTGAAGCAGCTGGAGAGCCAATGCAGTGCAAGTTACATGGGAACATTTTTTGATTTGCAGCAGAAAATACTTTATAGGTGAGGCCAGAGTTGCAGCTCTATAAAGATGTCACAAGGTCCTAGGGGATGCCCACACCCTTCCACTCTGTGATGTCACCAACACCTCAAGTAGCTTCATATACACAGCCACCTATGGAAACGTCACCACGGACAAACCCAAGGCATTTATGCACAAGAATATTTTCCCCTCTCTAGTTCATTAAATTCAGGTGAAGTTGTAATTCCCAGAGAAAAATCACAACTGAAACAACCAATTATAAACCAGCTGTTCAAAAGGAATTTGAGGTTTCAAAAAACGCTTTCCCACTCTTTTTACCCTATATAATGTTTTTGTAAAGAATGGATAAATTTTTTCTTCTCTGATCTCCCTTTCAATTCCATAAGCTATTTTCTAACCAACTAGGTAAAAACCTAGTCATGTAATGGTCAGTGAGTATTCTACAGAATAGTTTCACTTTGTTGCTACTTCGTAAGAGTGGATTTCCTACTTTTGAAGACAGTTTCATAGCACTGCTCTTGTAGCAGTATTTCTATGGAACAACTGAAAATTGTAACAAAGTTGCACTGCGACAGAACAAAGTATTTTCAATTAGACTTAGTCAAAAAATCTCTCTAGTGTACTTTAAGATCAACATCAATCAGAGTAAACTCACCTGTTCCATTAAAAATGTTACTTGATAAGGAGTTATTCATTCCAAATGCCTGATTTCTGTTCATCCCAAATCCAGACATACTGTGAAAAAAATCCAGGAAGTCAGACAAAGGCGTATACATACTTTGTAATTTCCAGTGGAAGGCATTAAGGGGGAAAAATAAAACCCAATACACTTAAATTATTTCAAGCTTAAGCAGTCCACATCAGCCTAAACTTGGTTTTCAATTATTTTCCTTTATACTTCTGAAAACTCTAAGCAGCAGCAGCAGGCACTGCTCAATCAAGACAACTGGAATGACTTCAAAATAACTTAGTTTTTTAGGAGCCACTGTGTCTTATAAAACATCTGTCAACCAACAAGTTATGGCAAACGTGATCGTTACTCAGTAATTTCATATAGAAAAATGAAGCAGCAGTAAATGCAATAGCGAAAAGTCAGACGGCAATCCATTCATTTGCAGGTGGGAAGCTGGGTAATGGAAGTGATTGAGTTTGTCATGACTCAGTTATAAGCTGAACAGTTATGGCGTGCAATCATCACCATGTCCACATGGCACTATTATGAGCACAGGGGTGGTCTCTGCCACACAAGGACACCAGATAAATTAAAGTTTCATATAGTCAGGCAAAAATCTTTGAAGACCTCTATAAATATCATATAGGACTACTGTGGTTGGAAAGACACCTTCACAAATGATCTGCTTCATTCTTTGCAAGCTGAAGATGTTGAGAAGCCCAAAGGTAGGCCCCAGCTGACTGAAATTCCGAATTTCTGCCCTGTGGGAAATCACAACACTCATTTTTCTCTTGTAATTGGATGGAAGTTGATGTTTCAGAAGTTTCCGTAAATAAAAATGTCAAACACTTTCCTAGTGGAAATTTTACCTACATGGACTTTTTCCACAGTTACAAATCTGAAGCATTTCATTCCAATCTGAAATAGCCCTAAATGCTTCATTTTGGATTGAGACATCAAGAAAGGGAACAGTTAGCGAAGACTCGTCCTGTCCTGCTTTGCTTCCCCAAGGTGGTGTATTTGAAAGACATCCAGATCGTTGACACCTCACAGCTGAAGAAAAATATTCCTGGTACTATCTGTGAATTCTAGACCTGGTGAGCACACCAACAAGAGACAACTTGATCTTGAGAGCATATCATCTAGCCTGATGACAGACAGTATTTCTAATGCAAGGGTTTTTTTGTTTGCTTTTAAAGAAATTAGAAACAACCATGTTAAGAATTCCAGGGATAAAAAAATGGATTAGGCCACAAAATGCAAACTTCTCTATGATTATTTGTAACCTGTTTTGCCAGTGTAACTAAGAAAGGGAAAGTAAGTATTTTTTTATGTTCAAAAACCTAAAAACTTTCATTGCTCCAACTAGGGCAACCATTCAGAAAACTCTTGTTGGAAATCACATAATTCGTGCACCTGTCAAGAAAACATCGTAATTTTTTCTTCCAAGTATAATTCCAAAATTTTGTTAAATATACCAATTAACAACTGGATATGTACTACTACTATACTTCTGTAGGCTAATAAACTGTGGAGTAAGAACCTGTCATTGTTCCAGGAATATTTCTTTCTCAACTTGTAAAAATTGTAGCTTTTTGAAAATGAGATACACAGTGTAAACCGTGAAAGATGAGGATTTTAATTCAAGTGTTCCTAAAAGGCAGGGATTTCATTATCTACACTACAGCTGAAAGGTATTTAAACAAGTACTTTCTATACATATATCAATCTCCAGTATAATTTTCCTCTGCATGTAGAGTTTTTAAGTATATTACTATTTCAACCTTTTGTAATGCTCGTTTCAAAAATACTTTAAAATACAAAATTATCTTTTTAAATTATCATCTCATTTTTCTTGCTGCTATACATCACAAGGAAGAAAAAGCAAATTCTATGTAAACAGAGGCAAGACACAAAGTCTTCTCATACTCCAAGAATATAAACCGCTCCCAAATCTCTGTGATTTGCTGTGATTGAGAAAAGCATTTTTATGCCAATATACTAGGGTGAAACTACAGAACTAAACAGCCTGACAAAGTTTCAGATAGCCATGACATTAGTTTTCACCTTCCTCTATCCATTTTGTAAAATACTAGATGGGGTTAGAGGTGGCACGTGACTGCCATGAGCTTGTTTATGCTCTACGTAAGAGTCAGTCCCCTAAGGAAGGGCCTGAAGGGAGAAAAAGAATGAAACTGGAAGCACAGAGATCATGAGGCTGTGGAATGAAGCCTGAAAAGCAGTCAGCTGTGCGAAGCTGTGACCACACGCATTAAATAATTAGAATCAACACATTTTTTACCATAAGATTATCAGTATCAACTAAGCATACATAGCACCAAAACACAGTTAAAGCCTAATGATTTGTGATGTTACAACCTTGCCCAGTTAGAAAAAGACCAGAAGTGACTGAGAAGCTTGTGGTATCCAAATGAACACCACATTCTTAAAGAAACCACTGTTCTCCATATTATTCCAGAATTTAAAGAAGTAACACACTAGGTTCCTGCTGCATCTGAATCAGTTAACTACTCTTCCAGAATAATTACTGTGTTTTTAAATCTTTCCTTACTTCTTCCCAAACTCACAGATGAATAGTCTTAAAATGTAAGCGTATACCCAAAAATCAATGTATGTTTCAAAAAACAAACTCAGGAACACAGGACAAACCGCATATCAAAGAAGCAGCTACAGAAATTCAGTAGTCAGAAACAGAATTTAGCTTAAAGGCCCCAAAAAGCTTGTGTGAATATTAAAAGCCGCTTCAAAGCTTATTGCAGGAGACGAGAACACACGAAGCAGTGCTTTCGAGCTTTTTTCTAATGAATAGAAATTAGAGCAGCATTTAAGCATGTCCATGGCTGTACAGGGATGGTCTGACTAAACAGCCTTACCTGTTCACAGTAAAAGGTTGTCGTGAGGGTTGCTGCTTTGGCATACATATTATGCTTGGAGAGCTTCTGTTGGGGCTGCCTAACCCTGAACTGCTCATGCTGTTTGTCCTGCTGGGAATTCCAATGCCCTGACCAACCTGGGAGTGGTTCATCATATTCCTAGGATTCATAGGCAATATCCCCCTGAAAGAGAAAAACCATCCACAGAGATGAATCTGTACAATAGTATTTAGTTACTCATTTAGATTACTAACATAGGATAGACTCTGAGCTGTTGCAACTTAATTTGTGCTTAGTGTCAACACAGAATGTTTGTATTACTCTCTATAATTAATGTAGTTTTGGATTTCTTCAGAAATACCAGATGACCCATTACATACTAATCAAGTCCTTGGTCAGGTTTAGATACATACTTAAATACTATACATTTGAGAAGGTGTTACAGCTCTTTTTTAGTGAGTGCTTCAGACCTTAGTATTCTTATACAGTGTATGACATCCATATAAAAATTTTAACCATACATTTACCAGAAGAACCAAAAAACAGCCTCTTACATTCTGAAGCAGAATTTGCCAGCAATTTGTCCTTTACATACAAAAATCAAATACTGTCTTACAGTAAGTCCTATCTTACTGCTTTACAGTATTATTTCCCTAACATAGGCAGCGGTCAATAGAAACTGCTTTTCTTCTTTTTTTAATTCATCAGACTGTAAAGTAGTCAAGGCAAAATATGCAGAACATTTAACAGGTGCTCTGCAGAAAGACACAATTGCAGAAATATTGGCTATCAATAAATACCTGCTCGGAGATGGAGGCGTGTGAAGTGACATTGTTGGTACCCCTGTTGTTGGCGTTACGTGGCTCGGTAACTGAGTGCCTTGTGATAAGCTGCGATTTAACTGAGGGGTATTGTTGCTCATTCCCCTCATTGGAAGGCCTAGTGCACCTATTGAAAAAAAATTCAGAGGGGTGGAGATATAGAGCAATCAGGAACAAAGTCTTCTCCATCAGGTGTAGATGGAAACAATTTATGCTGACAACCTACAAAAAAGTGTAAAGACTGAAGTGCAGTGTAAAAACTAAGTCCTTGTTTGCATAGTAGAAGCCCAATCATCTCAAATTTAGCCCCATTTCTGTTAAACCTTAGAAAGGCTCTTTAAGGAATTTCTGTATTTGAGTCACTAATGAAATTTTGTTTCCTTTGCGATGCCTACTGTAGATAAAGGTTTTAGTTTTGAGTTTTTGATGAGGACATGGAAATCTACAAGTTACCTCAAAAAAGGCAATGTTTTGAGAAAATCAATAACTGCACTCAAGAAGTACATTAATTACTTTTGAATAAACTGGTATATATTTGGCCAGTATTCAGAACACTAATCTGTCTTGTTAAAAATTAAGCAAATGTTTAACAAAAAAGTTATGAATATCTAGTTAATGATAACATTGCTTTTAGGACAATAAAAGCAACTTTTTAGGCCAGTTCTCCATAAAGTCTAAGTTGCTTCTTTTTGATAACAGAACTTCAGTCCACAATCAAGTCAAGGTCAATTATTTGAGAAAAGAAAGCAAGCAGAATTTTAACTGCCCTCTACTAGCATTTAAAAATACACAGAAGATTTTTAACATTGTGATCAAAAGTATTTTCTACACAAACAATTGGGTGTGACAGGACAAAGTAAGCACTTCAGTGAGGTACAAAAAAAAATAAAAATCACTAACTCAGAACAGCAAAAGATAACCAGTTGCTGCCTGTCTCAAAGTGTCCAAAAACTTTATGAAGTTTCCCATCATTCTCACATCACTTTTCCGTGTTTATGAAGTTTTGGAATGATGTTCAAAGACAAGAAAAAGTCATTTAGTGCAACATATCAATAGAAACAAACTTAGCATATAAAATGTGATAGCTCTAAGTAACAGTCCCTAGTGCTTTGGCATAGGCTGCTGAGGTAGACTCACAGAACCCAAAACTATCTTGCAGACCGAACAAAAGAAAAATGATGATGAAACAGCACTCTCCCATGGTAAATCACCCCTGCAGAAAAACTGAATATGTCACTGTATAACGTGATTAAATACTAAGAATGCAAAGAATGGACATAGCATACGCTCAGGTTATTATCATGGACAAGGTCTGAAGAAACCTCCCAGTCGTTTACCTCTCACACTACAAGAACTGCTGTCTGTCCGTGTCCTACCCTACAATTTGCAATCCAAGAAGTTTGCAATTACCCTGAAAAGTTCTGATAACACTCGAATTTATCTCTATACATTCAGATTAAGAAGTAGTGTGACTCGCTATAACAAGCCTCCTAAGCCTTCATTAAGTGCTGATTATATCATGGTGTTCTCTGTAAATATTTTGGCAATTTGCTGCATCAGAATAATTTCAATGAGCATAAATACATATTATAAATAATATTTCATGCTGATTAACAATTATGTGGAATTTTTAAAATAACATGGTAAAGAAAAAAATACATACACTTCCAAACTAGATACAGTACACTGAAAAACATGATTACAATATTCAGGTTAATTTTGTGCAAGCATTTCTTCAGCAAAGCCAGTATTACACTGATGGTTATTTCTTGTTGGCTTTCTTTAAACTAGAAATTTTAATGAGTACAGCTGTTACAGGGATGTAGAACCATATTCCTGTGTCTGGCAAGTAGGGGCAGTTGAAGTATTCACCCTAAGAAAAAAAATCTTTTCTTATGCTTCCTTCTTCCACTATTTTAACTGAGACAAGAGCTCTGCATGGGCTATATTGGAGACTGATCAATGAAGTAGCCAATTTCCTGTCTAATAGTTAACTCTGTAACATGACATCTTGCTTAATGACTGCCAGCTACCAATCTAAAAGTGCATAGACATTATCAGCTTTGTTTTTCCTAAAAGTATTTTAATCATAAGCATTGACTTTAACACTGAAGTTTCTCGCCCCTTTTTCTCAGTATTTGGTAGAAACTGAACCCTAGTAATATTTACTTTCTGATTTTTAGTCCATGCATGTCTCTGTGTTAGAGAGATTATGTCTTAGGCACCACAACAAACTAAACAAACAACAAAATTGATGAAAAAAGTTAACCTTAAAAATACACAAAAACAAACAACAAAAATAAAAAACAAATCTGTGATAAACAGAATGACTAAACTACTTCAGTATCTTTATACAGTTAAGTCTGAAAGGTTCGATAGTGCCAGATTCAGGACCCAAAGAGTCAAGAGCCAAACACGACTCTCAAGACTAACCAGAAACTGCTCATATAAATCTCAGTAGCATAATCAAATGCCAGTTTATATTACATGGTCACTCATCAACAGGCACTGAGATAGTAAAAAAATCACTGTATTTTCTAAACTATTTGAAGAAAGCCAAAATAAGTGGTGAAGGCCATGCATCTAGCAGACAAAGCTTTTAGTTTGTCCAGATAAAAAAGTCCACATTCTCTAAAGTACTCTGAAGACACTTTTTCTTAGAATCCAAGTCAGGTGACTTGGCAAGAAAGTTGCAAATGTTCAAAAGCGTACAGCGATAAGAGAGAGAGATGTTCACAAACCCGTTTTACTTGTGTAACTATTTAACTCAGACATTCTGAGTCTCTTTCTGGATGCACCTCCCAGCTATAAGGAAGTTCAGTTCTCAACACTGGCCCTTAAGTTAGGTGGCGAGCGTTACACGCTGCGACTGTTGCTCTATAGGTCTATTGCAACAGTATACAGATGACTAGCAGATATGGAAAAAAACTTCAAAGTATGGGAAAGAAAAAAACAATGGTGCAGAAGGCAATAATCTTACTGGCATAGTTCTCTGCCAAATGTGAACTGCCAAGCGTGTACACAAGATTTAATTTGCTCCTGTAGAGCATAAAATATCAGCTATAATTTAAGGTACAATTTCCTTCTATTCCTTACATATTTTTGTGAACTAGGCTCATTTTGGCCCAGCTCACTTTCCTTAGTTTTTCCTTCTGAAAGCCAGAGTTAAGTCACAGACATTCTTTATAGGATTATTATATTTGGATATTTAACAGCTATACAGTGTCAATCTAGGACACTTTGCATACTAAGCACTGCAAAAATGCATACTAAGCAAAGCAAAAATGTATCTTAAAAAAAGTTAAATCACACAAATAAGGAGACAGTCTTGTTTACAATCATCAGAAAACAAAGCCATATACATGTTCTCTATCCAAAGAGCGTAAAACTAGAACCTATTTAGCATAGAAGAAACATATCATCAATAAAAAGAATTCTTACTTTGTTGCCCGTATAAACTTGCCCCAAACTGAGACAGCTGACCTGATGTTGATGGTGATGCCAGCATCTAAAAATGTAAGTAGATTAAAAGGTTATTGAAGACACAAAGATATGCTATCTTGCTCTGAAAGTTTATAACAGTATATTGTTTTGCCAAGAAAGCCAAAACAGCAACTGGAATCTCCTTTTAAGTCATCAAAAATTTTAGAAACTCCCCAAAATATCTGCACAGTAAGAACTGTAACGGTATATTATACATCAATAAAAACGTATGATTTTACATGTATAAAACCAGACTTTCTGTTACTTGTGACAAATAGCATAGAGGAAGAAGATCTAAAAGCTTTCAGGTTTTCTACCTTTGTAGCTGAGACCCATCTTTACAGAGGAAGAAATACTCAGTTATTTACATCAGATATAGGGTTCCCCCCCCCCAATAAAACATGTATCATACAAGCAGATCAATCCCTGTTCAATGTAATAACAGCAAGTGCAAAATTTCATATTATCAGTTACAATAGCAAAAGGTGGGAAATGGCTGGCTAGGTAGCAGTAGGTATACAAAAACAGATATGAACTTCAGGTAAGATTCCAATGTTAAAATTATAATGTACTGCTCTAAGAACTAGCTTCATGCTTGTATACACCATATGAATAGGTAAGATGTACAAGTGTCAGAAGTAATCCTTCCTGCTCTCTTAGACTCACTTTAAAGACATCACACATTACCAACTATTTCCATTAAAACCTTCTTTGTCAATTTACAGACATCACACAAAAAATGTGACAAACTAAAGAGACTCTCAAGAAGAGTAAGATCTAATAAAAATCATGATCTATAAAGAAAGATTGAGATTTGGGTTTGCATACTCCAAAAAGAAGGCAACTAAGGTAGGGACATGACATCAGACTTCCAGTCACTGCTATAAGAGGAAAAGAATAAACTACTCCCCATGCTGCTGCAGAAATGTAAAGTATTAATACATTTGAGAAACACGAGATTTAGGCTAAATATTTGGGAAAAAAAGCCCTTTGCAATCTTAGGGACAGTTAAGCACTGGAACATCCATCCTTGGATGTTTTTCAAGAACAGATTAGATGCTCATCAACATTAGGTATAGATGACTGTCCCTTGGAGCAAAAGGAGTATTAGTTGACCTAATCCATCCAGCTCATAACAGAATATGCTTCTCGCACTTACTAACCCATGCGCAGCTGTCTGCTTGTTTAGTGCAGTAGGCTGGACTTGGGTTGAATTGTAGGATGGTTTCAAGGAAAGGAATGTCTGGATTTCTTACACATAAGGGGAATTCAAGCTTTTTCAACTTGAGAGTAAAGAATTAAAATCAAAGTAACTTCTACTGTGATAAATTGAAAATTGCTTTGTTGACTTAATCTAGACAGATGTAAAACTAAAACAAACCTTATAAATTGAATCTGCTAGTAGTCTATACTGTGGCCAAATCTGGGTAGTAGAAATGAAAAAGACGACACGCAGGGTAGACACTAAATATCAAAAGTAGCATTCATGTCTGTAAATCACAAAGTATTAGTGATTTTTTGAATAGAAGGCATGAGAAGAGAAATTACAGCAGGCAATTACCGCAGGCCATCAGAAAATGTATCAGAAATATCACCCCAAAATACTATACACTCACACATATTTTGAACAAAGTGCACATATTTGATAGTAAGTGACTACAGCAATAAACATCTACACTTCCATACCCAAGAGGTTTGAAATACTAAGACAAAAACTTCCTGCAGGAAAAAATACAAGACAAACTGGACCAAAGTTCTCCTTTCTTAGTGAAGAACTGGCTGTGAACAAAAGAACATTTTAAGTAACTACCAGTGGCTTCAGCTCACCACTCAGAAAGTTCTCAGGCCACATCTGCACCAGCAAGTAATGCTGCCAGAGGGAAGTGCATTTGTAAAACAAAAAACATACATATAGTATGCATTTCTAACTAGAGTTAGCCATGACTAAAACACCCGATGCCATGGAGTGTTGCCCGCTAGTGAGTGGAACATTGTTTGGTGCACTCCTGCAGCATCTCTTCCAGACTACTTTGATCCAGAAGGAATCAAATTCATTCCCACCAAGACTGCTCTGCAGTGCGAACCAAAGCGTGCTGGAGACACTTGGGAGGATAGACTTCAAAAGCACACTCCCCACCCAAACTAACAAACTGATGTTTGTTAAACATCGACAAAACAAGTTGATACAGTAGTTTTAAGAAAGGAAAGACAAAGTAAAATGTTGAGGTAAAAAAAATAACACCATTCAAGTTTGACAAGTTGGAAGATCCTAGAACACACTGCAAAGTGTGGCAAATTCCAGGGAAAAAAAATGAGAGAAAAAGTTACAAGACATCTTCAGAGATAATGACAAAGGCACACAAGCAAAAAAAACCTGTATCAGTCAGACACTGAGATATAAACAGCAGTCAAAAAGTACTAGCAGCTTTGGGACACGCAAGCAAAACAGTTAAGCCAAAAAGAATATTCTGTGAGAACAGCTGCTTAGGGCATTCAAAAAAAATCACTGTGATATAATAAGCAGAACATAGTACAAACCTTGGCATAAAAAACCATTTATTTATATCGTTAACTGAGATATTAAAAAAAAGTTAAAAAAAAAAAATCACAGACCTAGGAGGTACTAAATTGCTTGAAAGAGGGGAAAAAGAATCCCACCTCTTCTATACAGAGTACTACTTGATTTCTTTTAAATCCAGGTAAAAGAAAAGGAATGGCAAGCAATATTTAATGAACACTGCTTATTAGAAATTGGATTTTCTTTTGAAATATTGAAAAGTAGGTCACATGTATTGTGCCATTTGCCTTTACATGAAAAGTTAATTGCAAAATGACTTGTAGAGAAAGCCTTACAGAAGGGCATAATAAAGGTCAAGTATTATATTCAATAATCTAACAACTGGTTTTAAAGTCGTAACATACTAAGAACATCAAAGATAACAAGCCTCAAGAAGAAATAAATAAAAATTTCTGTGGACCTGTTCCAGGCTGATTAAATGCAGATTTCTCAAATCTCATGGGAAAGGAATATGCTGTATGGATCTCTCTTACTCTTTCTAGTTTATTTTGTAGTATGCTAAAAAACCTCCCCAGTATTAAACACTTTTTCTGTCATAGCTGAGTAAGCAGCAGTTTAAAATTTTGTCTTCTTTTTCTAGTATTTCCATATAATTTAGATCAACAACAAAACAACTAAATTAGCCAAAACCTTAAGCTATGCTACCAGGACCTTTATTTGCATTCACGACCTTTGAGTCGCTTTTATAGTCTACTTGAACTTGGTCTAACAAAGATAACAAAGATTCAAGATGAACACTATTAGTGGTATTAAAAACATTCCTTCTGACATTCTAGAATCATTTTACTCAACTACTGGCCACATGATACACAAAATATTACAATTCTCCAAGAGTGTACTTGCAATGGTGGCTGGAAGTCACTCTTGAATTTCTTTTAATCTACAGCAGCGAAAGGTCATGATAGCCTTAATAAAAACTAAACCAGTCTAACCCTTAAGGTCACTAAAGCCTCTTCCAGTTGTTAAGATCTTTTAAGCTTTACCCAATTAAGTAAAAATTTTAGAGAAAAAAAACACTCTGAATTATACCTGTAACAACCTTTGGAAACCAAAACATACCAAATTACTGCAATAACATCAATGAACAGCATATTCTAGCAGGATGTATACAACACCAGCTTTTTAAAACAAGCGACTAATAATTTTCAGTGTCAAGGAAATTGTTAAACAAGCTTCTGACACCGATAGCTTTTGCTGCACATACACAACCGTCAACCTCACTCCCTTCAAACCTTGGCACTTCAGTTTAAATCAATTTGCCAGTGGTTAACAGCTACAAAATCCAGTTGTGAAACAGCATGGGACTTTTGCTTCCATTCCAATTTAGTATCATTGAACTAGACAGGTTATTTCAATTGGCTTTCTCTGTACGTGTTGTAAGGAGATGGAGGAGGGCTAAGACTTGCATCTCCCACAGGGCAAGGAGACAACTAAGCAAACAAGACCTTGTGTAACATGAAGGGTGCACTTTATTCTGTTAGTGTAAGGAAGGACCAACGCTCAGTACTGGCAGACTGAAGGACTGAGTTGATGATAGTCAACTAAGATGTGAACATCGTTTTACTCATAAGTCTCAGTCAGTCACAGTGCAGTTCTGATCATGGAAGACCCTACCTCAAAACTCAAACCCATTGATGAACCAAGCAGATGGCCCACTTTTTCTGGACTGGTCCACACCAAGAATCAGTAAGCCATAACATGCTACCAGGCAATTTCCTACCCCTAGTGATGAACCAGACTTCAGTGTAACTGCCTTCATTAATTCTTGATGGGCTTACTGCGATAAGTCCATTTAAGAGTGTCAACTATCTCAAAAAACCCAGCACCAGCAATTGCTTAAATTTGCCAGAACTGTGAAAAAACTGCTGCATTCTAGAACCCTCTCGGGGTTCTAGAGAGCCTGGGAAGGCAGGCTGCAGCCTCCCTGAAAGCAGAGGGAGGCGGCGGGAGGAGGCCCAGCAGCAGAGCTGGCTGGCAGCGCGCCCGCCTGCCCCGCGCACTGTGGCATCCTGCCTCTTCCAAGCGAGCCCCCAGCTTATGGTGGAGACGGCTGCCTGTCACCACAACTGCCACAGTTGGTCACCACACCTCGGCATAGCGGCACCAAGAAAACTCAGCAAACGCTTTTGCGAAGGCTGCTATGTTAATGCAGTTACAGCCTAAAACTACTTTTCATAAACACAAAGCAAGCTGAAGTTGAAATACATCAATCCAATGCTAGAAAGTCAACTAAAAGCAAAAATGTTGGAATAAACAAGTTAAGTCTGCGGGTAATATCCAGCCTGACAAACGATGGTCTTCTCACAGGTCCAAACATCAGCATCATTTTGTATTTGCACTACTTTATTTCTGGTATCTGCCATCTGTGCTGCGCTATTTAATAATAAAACAACTGACCCACAGCCTGAAAAGGTGAAAGTGTTATACTGATGTAGAAAATAGTAATA